ACACACACACACACACACACACACACACACACACACACACACACCGCCGCGCCCCTGTCTCCTTAACTGCTGTCCCCTATCTCTTGATGACAGTGGTGTTCTGCTAGAGTCTGAGGATTCTACTATTCAACTCATTACTTGGCTTTTAACCGGATGCCAGCTGTTTGGCTGAGCCTCAGTCTAGTAAGTCCCCACCGCTCAGCTTTCCCCAGATGCCCGTATTTACTTTTCAAAGGCAGTGTGTACGGGTTGGAATTGTTTTCTAGTTTTATTAAAATTTGTTTGGAGTTTGTTCTCTCTGTATATTTTGATGGATCTCGGTGAAGAGGTCAGAGCACAATTGCTTTCATTCTATTTTTAATAATAAAAAAATCTGTTCATTTAGAGTTACAGTGTTTGGCTAAATCTTCAATTTGTTTTTTCTAAATGATTTACAAAATGAAAAAAGTAGATACACTTGGTTCTAAGATTCTTTCTCAGTCTCCTCCTCCTCTTTCTCTTTTTCCTCTTCTTCCTCTTCCTCCTCTTCTTCCTCCTCTTCCTCTTCTTCAAGATTTAGTTTATATGAGTACACTGCTGACACACCAGAAGAGGGCGTCAGATCCTGTTACAGATGGTTGTGAGCCACCATGTGGTTGCTGGGAATTGAACTCAGAACCTCTGGAAGCACAGTCAGTGGTCTTTACCACTGAGCCAACTCTCCAGCCCCTTTCTCAGTCTTTTTATAACAATTTATATAAGATATATATAAAAAGATAACAACTTATTATCCGTGTGTTTCTGAGTATAAAACTTTTTTTAGGGGAAATTTGTCATATTCAAAAATCAGAAAAAAAATTAATGCACCCTAAAATTTCATGGTTTTTTTCTTTCTCTTTTTAATTAAGAGCTCATTCTAAAAAAGAAGCCCCTGACTGTCTTGCAAACATTGTGTAGACGTGATCTTCAGCATCTTCTTTGGTTCTAGAAGTGCTGAGTACAAAACTGAGTTTCTTGGAGACTCTGGTAAGAGGTCTCCTGCAGGTCATAGCTCAGTACAGGAAAGGTAGTTGAACTTGATTGGTAGAACACTCCCCCTCCACATTTGTATAGCACACTTAGTATGCCTGGCAGTGTTAATGGGTTGATGTGACAGGATGAGTGGTGGGTAAGATGCTGTCTCTACTGATGCTGTCTCTGCTGCACAGGCCATGAGCAGAGCCCGGGCCCTCAGATCACAGTCAGAGAACTCCACCTCAGCCTTTAGTGCTGATGACCTGAGTTTTGATACAACTGAGCAGACGGCAAACGACTCTGATGACAGCCAGTCAGCAGTGCCCAGCAGAGGCCGAGGCCGAGGCCGAGGGCGGAGAGGAGGCAGAGGACAGAGCACTGCCCCCAGAGGAGGCTCTCAGAGAGGCCGAGGTCAGCACCCATCTTTGTCTTTCAACACTGCAGACTTGCAAGCTACAAGAGAAATGCCAAGTTGTGCCCTTTGGTCAGAATTGAATTGGGAGGTTTTTTTCTAAAACTTGTTATTTTTGTGCTGTGTAACTGCTGTCTGTAGTAGAGCTTGGATGATTGTAACTGGGTTCGTGCAGCCGTAGGGCTTTAGTTGTTCTTAAGTTATAATTAAAGGGCCTCACTGTATACTTCTCCTCTGTGTATTCTCTTATATATGGAGGAGTAATGAATGACAAATGTGAATGAAAGAAATGGCTAGCAAATCGCAATTCCGGATGAGAGAAATATTGGTACTGTCAGGAGACAAAGTACTTACATGTTATAGTCTCTCTGAGCTTGTTTAAGAGTGAAAAGGACGCTAAACAACTTACGTTCTACAGTCCGTCACTGCACTGCTGTCATCACTGATGCTGTAGTCATGGCATGGTCCAGATAACAGAGGATGGCCATCCAGTGACTTCCTAGTAGAGTCCGGAAGTCTATCGCTAGGAACAGTTCTTCACTGAATATTTGTTCATGGGGGTAAGACTGGATACATGGCTCAGGGATTGAAAGCACTAGCTGTTCTTCTAGATGACCTGGGTTCAATTCCAGCACCTACGTGGCAGTTCAGTACTGTATATAAGTTCCAGGGGATCCTATGCTTGCTTCTGCTTTAAAGGATCTTGCATATGTGTGAGGCCATAAACTTACATAAGCACACATACATATAAAAATAAAAAAAAATTTAAAAGAATATTTTATTTACAGGAACATGAGCTGGTTACATGAACTGACTTAATAGAAGGGCTCTGAAGAGCCAGGCATGGTGGTGCACAGATTTCTGTGAGCCTGGTCTATATAGTAAGTTCCAGGGCTACATAGTGAGACCCTGTTTCGAAAAAGACAAACCAAAAAAAGAGTGCTGAAGAATCAGTCTGTGGATGTTTTTATCATCTTTACATTTACAGCTTTTGTCCTTAAGCTGTAACCGAGGACCAGTGTGACTAAGGACAGTCTGAAATCTGACCCTCATACTGTTTTGTGTGTGCTGCTGGCTTTCTGTGCTTGGTTTGTTGTGAGCTCTCTCTTCTGCATTGTGCCAAGGGAAGTTACTGACCACTATGATTCCTCTTGCAGACACTGGGCTGGAAATCACTACTCGAGGCAGGAGCTCAAAGGCCACCTCATCAACATCTAGAAACATGTCCATTCTAGATGGTGAGTACATAGCCATAGCTTATACATTCCAGCCCTGGAAGGCTGAAGGCACCTCCTTAGTAACTGCAGTTCTTAGGTTGGAGAGGCAGCTTTGCGGTAGAGGGATTGCCTTGCAGAGTATAACTTCCCTTCCCTTCTGACAGATCCCTAATACAGAGAATGAGGCGGTGTTGGGTGGGGTGGTGGGGGTGGCGTAGCTGATAGTGTGCTAGGAACTTCCTCAGTGTGCATGGGGGACTCAGCTGAGCTAAGTAATCCCATGGATAAAACAAGTGGATCCCAATGCCTGGTGCATCAGGAGGCACCCTACAAGAGCTATTACTATTATTTAAAAAAAAAAAAAAAAGGAAACAGTGAACTTCAAAAAGAGAGTGGTGAAGTGTATATGCTTCCCTGCCAAAGCACCAGTGTGTTTAGCACACCACTAGGCTGGCTGTAGCTAAACTAGTGCCTCAGCCTAGCCTGCCCTTTCTCATTCAGGGCTAATGTTTTTTTTGAAGCATTCTTTGATACCAGTGTGTATACTTTCCTTAATTAAAACCTTAATTAAAGGGACTCTCCCTGTTTCCATTGTTGTTAAGGTATCAGCTGTTACCTTTCCTGAAGTAAAACCTCTTTTTCCCTCAGCTTACTATCTGTAGTCTTGTACCTACGGTGGTGTTGTTTGTTGTTGTTATCCTGTTTAGGACTCACTGGGCTGTGTAGAGGTGTGTGCATTGGTATTTCATTCTCTGCTGTGTCTTGAAGTCTTGTCTGAGTGTTGACGTGTTCCCCCATCCTCTTGTCACCTCCTCACTCCCATTCATCCCCTTTGATCCCTAAACATGGACTGAGTTTTTTAGTGTGGATGCACAAAACGTTTTTATTATCGTAAGTTTCATAAGGTTTTCTTTTTTCTATTTTTATCCTTTCATGGTTTTTTTCAGTTATTATTTTTTTTTATTTATTGAGTTACAATAATTGCACCATTTCACCTTCCTTTCCTCTCTCCAAACCCTCCCCTGCCTCTCTCCATGTTCTTTCTAATATTGTTTTCATTAATTGTTACAAGCATGCAGATAGATAGATAGATAGATAGATAGATAGATAGATAGATAGATAGATAGATAGATAGAGTCTTCAACCTGGAGGTGCTGGCTGTCAGCACCCCAAGAAGGTGCAGCATTGAAACTGTACTTCTAGATGTCCACTGTAGGGAGAGCAGGGGACAGGTAAACAAAATTAGTCGAGTTCCAAACAAGTTCATTTACTGTTGGGAAAGGAAGAAATCACAGGTGTAGCCAGCAGCTGCTGTAAGTAGTAGTTGACAGCCAGATTTTTTCCACTAAAGTTACTCAGCAGAGGATGGTGACTGAGCAGAGAAAAGACACCCCATGGCCACTGTCTTCCCGTGTGACTTACCACCCTGAGTCACTCCATTCATTTTCATGCTAATACTCAGTGTGTGAGCGCCTGCTGCCTGCCAGACACTTGCCAAAGCAATTTGCATTAAGCACCTCTTTATCTTTTCAACAGTTTTCTGTGTGAAATATTGGCACTGTTTTACAGGTTAGGAAAGTGAGACTTGAATAAGCCAAGCAAATTGGCAGTGGCTGTTAGCTAGAAAGTCAGAATGGGTCCAGTTCCAAAAGCAGACCTCTGACCTACCAAAACTTATGGTCTTCCTGAGAAAAGTGTCTTCTGATAAAAGTTACCTACTTTCATAAGCACTCCTTCTCCGTTGGTTGTCCACTAGGGAACAAAAGAAAGTTCTTGATTTCCAGGACCTCAGGATTTGGGGACCGTAAGTAAGTGCTGACAGCATTCTCTGAAAGCACTACACTCTCTGGTTTTCTGTCCATGTGACCTGCTTCTCCGTTGTAGAAAGTAGGGTGAGGCCTGTGAGTGAGAGGAAAGATGAGACCTGGGCTTCTGCCTTTCATCTTCCTCTCAGACATCACAAGATCCGTCACAGAAACCTGAGGTGGGAAGTGTGAGCAGGGATAAAGTTGGGCTGCAAAGAAAGATTGCTGAAGTCTTCTGATAGGGGACATTGAGAGTCTGAGGGACACCTTGCCTATTTAAATGTCTCCCTTTGCCCAGTTTAGAGTGGAAGTTGTCTTGGAGAAGTTATGTCTGATGCTAGCAAATGACCACACATCAGAGAAAGCAAATGCCAACTAGGTGTTTGGATCTATTGCATGGTTTGATATCAAATGACAGGAAAGAGGCAGGGTTAGCAAAACCTAAAGTGTCTAGTAAGCAAAATGTAAGGATTTACAGAAAGCTTTATCAAGGAGTCAAGGATGTCTGATTTGCAGAATTCCCCTCTGGTGTGTTCTCAGGTCCCAGTGTGGCTACAAGGAAGAAGAGTGATGGCTGGTGAAGCCTCAGGAAGCCTGGTCACCTGGGAAGGGTGGGAGGGCTACTGTAGTTTACTTGGACTTCATCTTTCAGGCCTGTTTTATAAATATTTTAATGTGAGTATATTTATGAATTCTGCTTGTTACTATATTTGAACAAGCTGGGAAACCGTGAGACTGATAGGCCGACCTTGGACTTCCAAGTGTATATAGTCTCACATCCTTCCAGATTCCAGAATATATAAATGGCTTTCCAATTGATCATTCCAGATTTTTGCAGGTAGGACTTTAAAATCCTTGAGCTGAAGAAGTGAATACATTTTTTTAGTTACTTTAAGAACTTTGTAACAGGCATTTTATCTTTTTCATACTAGCTTTCAGACCTACCCGACAGCAACCTTCCAGAAACATAGCCACTAAGAATTACTCAGAGGTAAGAAAATTGATTTTGATTTGATGTTAATAATGTGCTTTCTGTGTTAGGACTTCCTAATAGGGGTGTGGTGTGGACATGAGCACTGAGGAGAACTTGATGACTGTTCAACTCTTAAAGCCAGCAACATAGCTCACTGGTTCATGTGGGGAATGATTGCCAGTGTGTGGGCGTTGGGTGTGTTGATCTCTGTTGGGTGGTCTTGGGGATTTTGACTGAGCCCCTTCCAGCTGTGCCAGGCACATCAAGACCCCACCAGGGTGTTGGGGAGAACTCAGTCTGAAGGTGGTGGTGGGGGAACAGGGCTCTCGAGTAGACCCGAGAGAGGGCCACCGCCCAACAGAGAGGGGCACCGCCCAATGGCTCCTCTGTTGACTGCTCCCAGTGGGAAGCTGCAACCGAGAGGAGAGAAACGAGGACTGGGAGAGCTCTGGCCACTCGCTTGGCTGGAAAGTGGCTGCTCAGCTAGCTTGCTTGAAGAGGGACACAGAGAAGCTCTCCACAGGAGATTAGACACGGCTCAGTAGTTGAGACCATCTCCGTGGTTCCCCTCAGCGGGGCCCCCAAAAGACACGTGGAAATCCATGGGTTTTACAGGCTTTATTTTCACGGTGGGTGGTAGTTGAATCTGGATACACCCTCCTTTTGGTCAGGACAGACCTGACTTAAATAGGGAGGGAGGAGGGAGGAGGGTCTAGGGGTCTGAGAAAGGAATACTTAATAGACTACGCCCTCTGGCCTTAAGGTAAATCATTAATATGGAAATCTCTAGGCCTGAAGTCACAGGTGGTGGGCGATGCAAACCTCTCTGGGAGGGGCTGCATTGCCCTACATGACTGAAAAGCGTGGGTCAGTGGAGATCTTAGACAGCCTGTCAGGAGTCTGGACTCCGGGAGTGTGGCGAGATATGTGCGGTCCCTCACAGGCAGTGGACACTTGTTGGGTCTCCAGCTATCTCTAAGCCAGTGCTCTACCGGAAACCAAACTTTTTTGTCCTTGGCTTCTTCCTCATTTACACTTTAGTAGGTGAAAACATAGTACATACCTATCAAGCATCAAGGTAACACAAAACACAGAGCATGGCGGAATCCTGTATATCTTCGTTGGCTCTTAACACTAAATATCTACCAACCCGCTGTTTCCTATGTAGTCCAGTGCCTTATTTAAAATTGGAGCTGATTTAAAAAAAAATGGAGCTCATAGGTAGTTTTGGTAGTACAGATCAATAATTTTCACACTCAGTGGGCAGAAGCCTGAAGATTACAAGTTGGAAAATAGCCTGGGTTATTCAAGAAAAGAAAAACTTGAAGTTGAAACACTGACAATCTGTCATCTTATCAGGCTCAGACTTGGTAATGGTCAGGAGAGACATAGGCCATGGATAAGAGAGTAACAATTGTAAAGGAAGAGGGACCTTGGTGTGGGCGTCAGGCTGGGTTTACCTTCTTCTCTGAGATCTGAAGATCAAACCCAGGCCTCACTGCTAGACAGGTTCTCTACCACTGAGCCACATGTACTTCACAGTTTGTGTTAATCACAAGTGTTCATGTGGTTTGCTGGACACATGCCTGCGTGTGTATCTTGATATTCTGTTATTTAATTCATCTGAGCCTGTTGCTTTGTTTCCTCCCTTCTGTAGACCATTGAGGTGGATGAATCCGATGAAGATGACATTTTTCCTACTAGTTCCAGGGCTGATCAAAGGTAGGCCAGGGACATCCTTTGAAAACAAAAAATATAATCATATAGAATTCTATGGCAATATGTTGTTCTGTGCTAGAGAGGATAAATAGAATTCTTTTTATCTAGCAATTATGTAGAGAAATGAACAACAGATATGATTCAGCATTGTTGTACGTATTTCCTCTGAAACATAGAATGTAGTTTGTGTCCTCTCATCTTTATTACCCAGTTCCCTTCTTCATGAAAGATTGTCTCCCCAGTAATAGAAAATGCTTTTCTTAATTTTGGATTCCAGATTTATTTTTCACTGTACATTTTTCTGTGCCTTATATACAAAGTGCTTTACCAAACAGGAGAAGCAGCTGGTAGGAACTTTGGAGTACTTATGTGTCTAACTGGACTTCCTCTGGAGTATTTATGTGTCTGACTGTACTTCCTCTGGGGTACTTATGTGTCTGACTGTACTTCCTCTGGGGTACTTATGTGTCTAACTGGACTTCCTCTGGAGTACTTATGTGTCTGTCTGGACTTCTCTGGAGTACTTATGTATCTGTCTGGACTTCCTCTGGAGTACTTAAGTGTCAATGTGTCTGTCTGATTTTCTCTGGAGTACTTACATGTCTGTCTGGACTTCCTTTGTTACCTTTGTGGCTAATGTGAACTTACTTTAGAGTACTTATGTGGCTGGCTGGACCTATTCTGGAGTACTTAGTGGGTTTACTCTGGAGAACTTACATGGTTGACATAGACTTACTCGATTCTGGAGTAATTAATTGACTTTATTTAAAATCACTATTTTCTTTTATGTGTTATCATTTTGGGCAAATACTGTTTACTTTAAACTTAATGAAAATTTCTACTTAAGAACATAATGGAGGGGTCTGGGAAGATGGTGCAGTATTTGAGTAGACTTGGTGTTCCTGTGGATAAAATAGGGTTTGGTTCCTAGTTACCCACATGATGCTCACAGCCATTTGTAACTTCAGGTCCATCTGGCCTGTGGGCATTGTGTATACCTTTCACATACATACTTGTAGACAAAACACCCATATATATATATATAATAAAAAATTTTTTGAAAAAAAAAAAATCTCAACACCCTTTTTTTTTTTTTTTAACACTTTTGGTTTTTACATTCTATTAGGTCTAGTGGTATATAACAGATTTTGATAAGGCTCCAGACTTAGGTGACTTGAATTTTCCTGTAAGGGGTTGACCACATACAACTACATTAAGCATGAATAAATTAGCTCATAGTTGCGAGTGAACTGTAATTCAGGCTTTTGATTGTGAGTGTTCATGGAAAAGAGCAAATGTGGGCTGTGGTGGGAGATACTCTGGAGAGTGCTGAGTTTGTCCCCGCTCCTTGGATCAGCTACAGTTTGAAGAGAAAGCACTGCAGCGTTTCAGCTGTGGAGGGATGCTGGTCCCACAGTAGGGGCAGGAGTCAGCACTCAGTGGTGCTGCTAACCAATCAGGCCATGGCCTAGTGCTCAAACAGACTAGCACATACCTCTTTAAAAACAAACATTTCCCCATTTAACAGATGAGGAAATTTAGGTGCAGAGGGAATAGCATAGATAGGAAATGGCTTTGTTGTTGTTTTTTTTTTTTTTATAGAAAATGTTTACTATAAAAACATTCAATAACTGAGAAACTGACAGTGCTGCTCTTAAGGCTCCTCAGAGAAACAGCCCATAGGATGCACACACACAGTGTGTATGTAATATATTATCTCTTAGTGCACATAGATACACAAAATTATTGTATATATTAAAGGGAGCTGTGTAGTGTTTGTACTCAGTGGTTACTATGGGATTGAATGCTTGTGCCATGTTCTCACTCATTGTCTTTGTTTTTTCTTTCTTCCTCAGGGGGTCAGGCACAGCATCTAGCAAACAGATGTCCCAGAGCCAGACAGCCAAAGGGGTGGACTTTGAATCAGATGAGGTGATTGACTATTTCTTACCTTAACTGTCTGTGAAATGTAGATGGAGACCACTGGCTAGGCACTGCAGGTTATGTTTTTAGGCTCCCTGATAACCTTGCTGTGATCTGCAATGCTAAAAGTCTGTGAGTGCCCTCGGTGTAGTTGCCTAGAAAAGCCTGTGGGTTTTTAAAGCATACTGTTCACTCTGCTCTCACTTCTCCCATTAATAGGATCAAGCCTGGGGTTTTAAGACTCTTTTTAATGTAGCTCCTGGTGTTGATGTTTGGAGTGGGGTGACGCTAGTGTAGAAGCTTTTCCGGTTAACTGATGAAGTGTCCTTGCACTCTGGACAGAAGACCAACTCGGCACAGGCACTCCACGAGGACAGTGGAGGTCTGCACTGAACTGTCTGTCAGGTTCTCCAACTCACGGGGAGTGGGAGGAAGTGTAGTCAGGACTCATCTCGCTGTGTTCCTCTGTTGTTTAATGAAGCAGCATCAGAGCTGTGAGTCACAGGACCCTGGTCTTTCCTGTTCCCTCATGGTTGCCACTTGAACCTCTGCAAGCACTATAGAAGATTGTTAAGTCTGTCTTCATTTTCATTTAGTTTTTATTTTTAAACAATCATGTTGTAGTCAGAACACATAACATAAAAATCACATCCAAACTATTTATAAATGTAGCTTAGTAGCATTAAATATATTGTTGTAAAACAGACCTTAAGTGAGGTAACCCAAACCCAGAAAACATGGTATGCACTTACTTAAAAGTGGGTATTAGCTGCAAAATAAAGGATAACCATGCTACAGTCCACAGACCCAGAGAGGCTAACTAATAAGGAAAGCTTAAGAGGGGACACAAGGGTCTTTATAGAAGGGGAAATAGGATAGATTCTGTGGGTCAAGTGGGATGGGGGACGGAGGAAGAGAATACTGGGGGATATTTCAGAAGTGAGATACACACCTAGTGCAGTGGAAACTACAGGGGTGACAATAGTGGAGACTCCTAGTAATAGGGACACAGAGCCTGAAACAGCCATCCTCTGTAACCAAGCAAGGTCTCAAGAGCAGGGATTGGAACACCAACCCAGCCACAAACCCTCTGACCTACAGTTTGTCTTGCCTGCATGATATGCTGGGACCATAACCGTCATCAGAGAGACTTCATTTAGCAGCAGCTTCCGGAAGCAGTGCAGGTCCAACAGCCAAACATTAGGCAGAGCTCAGGAGTCCTGCAGAGGGGAAGGAAGAATTGGGGTCCCAGAGGGATCAAGACTCACAGAGTCACCTGATTCAAGTGGGCTCATATCGATCAGGGAGCCTCTGTGGATCTGACCTAGGCTCTCAGCATGTATGTCATGTATGTTATGACTGTGCAGCTTGATGTTCTTGTGAGACTCCTAACAGTGGGAGCAGGGACTGTCTCTGACCCCTTTGCTTGCCTTTGGAACCCTTATTGGGTTGCCTTTTGTGAGAATGTGTGCCTGATCTTACTGTAGCTTGTTATGCCATATTTGGTTGATGTCCCTGGAAGACCTGCTCTTGGAAGAGTGAATCTGGGAGAAAGGGGAGGTGGAGGCTGGGAGGAGGTGAGGGATGTAATATGAGAGAGAGAAACACACACACACACACACACACACACACACACACACACTTCAAGGGCTTTTGTTTTATAGAACCACAAGTGTGTCCCTTAAACACAACCCAGTGTCCATATCTCATCCCCAGCCCCTGCCACTTACACTGTGCTCTCTTTTCTGTGACTTTGTTTGCTGTGTGCCCCCGTGTAATGGAATTTCCATTGATTTTTGTGTGATTGGTATATCCCACTTGTAAAGTGCCCTTAGTGCTCCTCCTGCTGTATGTGCCTCAGCTCTCTGTTTTGAGCATCTGCTGTTGCTGCCATGTTCCTTATGTCTTAGCTGTGAGTTTGCAATTGCTTGCCAGGCTTACTGCACCTCAGGCTGTGATTTCAGTCTGTCTATTGAGTGGTGGCATGGTGCTGCCAGTAGGGAAGTAGGCGCACATCTGGATGTCCATAGATGGTAGAGTTTAAAATGAGTACACCAACAAGTGAGAGGGTGACTTGCTGGATAAAGTCCTGCTACCTAAGCCCTGAGGCCTGAAGTTTGATGCTCACGTAAAAGCTGGGCATGAACATGTGGATTCCAGGCGCTTAGGAGCAAATGCACTTGAACAACAACAACAGCAATAACAAAATGCATATACACAGAAGAGAAGAAAATGTATGTATGCTGTTTGCATTTAACTAGAGAAGAACCGAAGGCACGTTATCAGTTTTGCTTTGTATGTCTTTAACAAGGCCTGCCTTTGACAGTAAAGAAAACGGATCAGCAAAACAGTTGAATTTGTGCTTCTCGGGCATCCATTTCTCACTAATAAATTTCGAAAAACATGGATTTGTTAAAGTCATAAGTCAAGTCTAATACGAAATGATTGTGTTTACTAACATCTTAATGGTAACAATTTTATAAAAGTATTTATCTTTCAAATATATAAAGTGCAATCCATCCACTGCTATCTTTCATCAAATTATATAAGCAGGCTTTTTACAATGAGGCTGTTGTTTTTGCTTTATGACTAGGATTTGAACCCTGGGCCTGGCACATGCTAGGCCAGCTCTCAACCACTGGGCTCTAGCTCCAGCCTTTTCCTCTTTCCCTTGAGACAGGGCTCACACAGCTCTGGAGGATTTGAGCTCATTCCGTAGCTCTAACAGGCCTTGAACTTGTGGTCTTTCCTCCTCAGCCTCCCTAGAAGTTGGGGTGACACGCCTGTGATTCCAGACCTAGCTAGTTGTTTTCATTCTCATTAAATTCTTAGTTAATGTCTGATGTTTCTATTTCTTCTTACCACGCTTGTAGTCTACGTCCCATCAACTTGGGAACACCTGAAATACTCCATCTACTTTTTTTTTTTTTTTTTTTTTTTGCAAAAGGTGAAAGACAGCTTTACTCAGCTTTTTCCTCCACCCACCGGAAGCAGTCTACTCTTGTCATGAAATGGGTGACAGGAAACAAGAATCACAGTCCTTGGGACTTTTCCCTGTGACTTTCTTGTCTGTTGGCTGAATCTCCACGGGGGCAGACAGGGTATAAGTTTAAGTGAGGTGCTCAGTGGCTGCTGCACCAGCCTGGCAGCCCAGGTTGGAACCCCGAGGCCCACAAAGGTAGGATGGAGAAATGAACGCCACATTGCCCTGACAGAGGACACAACTGCATGTGAGGTAAGTGCACAGTAGTAGCGATGATGATGATGATGATGATGATGATGATGATGTGAATGAGAAAACTTCACAAACAGAATAGAAATGACTTGAATATTTTCTGTCCTGGCTTTCCTACACCTCATGTGCTTTTATTAAGGTTTGTGACTGGGAAATGTATGTATTGTGTGTTATAGATATGTGCAGTCACACACAAGACCTGGCAGATTTTTACTCTAATGCACAAGACTGACTTGGGCCTTTATATTTCACAGCTAAAGGCATAGGTGTGATAAATGTGACCTCCCTGATACCATTTTAATAGTAAGAGCTTCTTTCATGGCTCAAAGAGGATGTGTGGTCACTGACACAGCATAACATTTGTGTCATTTCAGGACGATGATGACGACCCTTTCATGAGCAATAGCTGCCCAAGAAGAAACCGAAGATAATGTTTTTAATGGAACCTAGAAATTGTCATGATGCAGGAAGAAATCAAAGCACCACATGCTGACTTTACAGCTGAAGGTGTTTTAACAGTGCCACTGACTAAGGATTCTGAAAAGTCTGGGTTTATATTTTAAAGTATTGCTTCCTGAACAGTGACTCCCTTAAGCCATTTTCTAGCCCAATGATAAGGAGATTGCTGCTTCTCCTTAACCTTTAACCTGGTTGTTGTTGTTGTCATATGTTCTGCCATATTGAGAATGTTAACTTCCTGACATAACTGTGTTTCCTGCTTGTAAGAACTTTGCTAAAATTCCATTCTTGAATGAACATTAGAAAAAAAACCCTCCATTATTAATTCCTGCTTCATGATCAGAGACTGTCAGCCTCCTGTGCCACAGCTAGCAGAGTTGATGGGAAAGCTTACAGACTTGACTGGTACGTGCTGTAATCCTTTCCTGTAGTGTATGGAGCAGCCTGAGCTCCCTGATAGTTACCCAGTGTGTGGACTTCAGAGCTTGCTAGAGGACCATCTACTAGGACCAGCGGGACCTTATATTTCAGTAATTAGTATAAGGCTTTTGTTTAGAATGGTTTGGTTGTTTCGGTTTGGTTTTTATTCAGTGTAGCAGATTCAGCTCCTGTTCCCGTTGAGCAGGAGTCATTTCCTGGGTCACTCTGTCCAGGACAAGTTCTTTCTCATACACTTGTCAGGGAGAAAAGGTTAATAGGGCTTTTATGTTTTCTTAAAAATATTGAAAAGCTTTTTTTAGGCAAAGCAGCCAGCTGACCTTGTGGTTAGTTCAAGCTGACAGACAGACTGCAATACAGCTTCTGCCCGGTGTCCATGCTAGGGCTCCTCAGCCAGCAACACTGTACCATGGCTTTGGTTGCTATAGACATACCTGACTATATGATCCCCAAATGGACTGAAACAGCAAGTTTATATTTTCTTACATACTAGGGAGTAAATAAAAATGGTATCCCTTCAGAGTTGAGTTAAATAAATGCATTCCCTCTTCCAGATTCTAAAAACCTCTGCTGGTCTTTTAATTTTATAAGGCAAGTGTGTTCAAACACTCTTTGAGAAAAGCTGGATCCCTCTAGCACAACAGCATGATGTTCTTCACAGATGTAGACACCAGTGCTTGAGCTAAACAGTGTTCATGACCAAGTTAATCCTGTCTGGAACTCGCCAACTTTTTGGAGCCCAGCACCTGATGTGTCTTGGAAGTGGTCTGAGTAAGAATTACAATCCAACACTGATGAGGTGCTTAGAGCTTTGTACCTGGTGTGAGCACAGGATTGTCAGCAGAAGGCCTGGTCCTATGAGATCCCTTCAGGCAGTTCTCCCCGCCTCTTATCTTTATCACATTAAATCTGAAGTGTTCCCAGGGTTTGAATGGAGATTAAGTGTGGGGCTCTGTAGGTGGAGGCTAGTGGGAGGTGGTACTCCCTGATACGCTGAGCTGTGGCCAGCATCAGGTGTAGGTGGAGGGTAGTGGGAGGTGGTACTCCCTGATACACTGAGCTGTGGCCAGCATCAGGTGGTGCCTTGTTTTGTGTGCCAGGGAGATGTTCCTAGGTGAGCAGACAGTGAGGATTTGGACACTAAAGTCCCTGACAGGCTTCTGGAAAGGTTAGTGAGGCTTTTCCTCCATTTAAACAAACCTCAGCTAGAGTGTGGAATGACACTGATAGCTGCTAGGGGAAGTAAGTCCCTGGCAGTGTGTAGATCTACCATGTGAGTAGCATGAGATATACCCTAGCAGTATGGGAAGTACAGAGGGAAATGCTGTTGATGAAGGTCATTGTGTAGTCAACTACCACAGAGCCTAGGGTTCGTTTAGATACAGCAAAAATCTGGCATTGGTTCTTTGGTGACAGTTTTCAGGCCTGTGGGTGTTAGCTGGATGGAGTCTTTGGACCTGGAACAAGTTGTTCTTCAGTGACAGATTTCTGAGAGGGAGTGCCACAGGTTCAGAAAATACAGAAGATAGGAACACTGGGCTCGAGAAGTCTTCCAAAGGTATGTCTTTATGCCAAGCAAGTTTCTTCAGAGTACAACATCTTATATCCAGTGTGTTGTGGGAAATAGGACATAAGCAGAAAGCTTCAATGGGATGAAGTCAGTGGGAAGCTGATCAAGCTGTGTTGCACAAGGGAACCATGGGCCAGCTCAAGGGCATCATAGACTGAGCACACAGTGACCTTGGAACTGATAAAACTCAGTCTCTTCAGAGAGAAAAGATGAGTTCTCAGGAGCCAAAATTTTAATCCTCAAGGCCCTAGCCCTAGCACAGACTTGCCGGTGTGCCTTGGATTGGGACACAGAGCTGGGCTCTGTCCTCTCATGACCATCTTGAGAATGCCTTGGATGGCCTGGCTCCCAACAGCCTTCCAGATAACTTTAAGGATGTGATAGGTCCAGGATGAACCAAAGAATCCATCTCTCCTGGCACTGCATCCTGTGAGTACACGTGGAGAGTGCACTGTACCTCTAGCTGCTTACAGTCAAGCCTCTAAACAGGCAAAGTTTAATTTAGGAACATGTATAAACCTTTAAAACTGCTGATGACAATAACTGTAGAAAAGCCATGCCTTAAGCTATGCAGGGAGGCCTCTTGGACAGGAGCCAGTGGGATGAGCTCGCCACTGAGGAGCAGTGTGGCTTTAGCTCAGAGCCTGCTCTCAGGCTGTGGGGAGCAGCGTGGCAGTTCTGTTGCTGGAGGCACTTAGAATGTCACAGCGGCAAGTCTCTGTATTTGTGCCGTGATTGAGAATCTAGTCAGCAAAGCTGTAATTATCCTCGATCATATGTGCGGGCTGCGTATTTCACCTGTCCCCATCCATTACATAGAGTGGCTCATTTGGTATGTTTTACATGTAAAGATTCAAAAAGAATCAACAGATGATGACTTCATAAAGGAAAAAAATCTTTTACTAGAAAAATTAAGTGAAAATGGTCTCCTGGCATAAAGTGATATTTCTGAGCAGGTATCCTTTTTTGTATCTGTCAGATATTTGATTCCCACTAGTATTTTGAGGGTTTTAAGAGCTGACATTAAAATATTACAAAAAATTATATAATAAAGATTTGTTTTTGTTGAATTTTGAATGTGGTGTCTTGGTTTGAACAGCAGGTTTCTTGTACCTGATCACACCACACTTTTAGTTTGTCGTTTGTAAAGTTGGGCACATGATTGGCTATGGCCATTACAATGTCTTTCAGATCACTAGCTCTCCTTTCAGGTCTCACTAAGTTCTCCAGAGTCCAGAGGTTGAGGTCAGAGCCAAGCGTGTGTGTTTGGCTGCACTCTCCAGCTACAAGCTGTCAGCAGTTAGGTACTTGGTTCTATGATCCTTTTCACAGGACAACTGATACACCGTGCTGGATTAGAACCCACCCCTCCAGCCAAGTGTTCTAGAGGCCTCCTGCCCAGCTACATGCCCCGCTTGATGCCCTGTTTCTTCCACATCTGCCTTGTTAACTTCTGTATTAAACTATCTTTGCCTATTTTAATAAGGACTAGCCACACTGTTTCCCAACAGATGATTTAAATGCCACTGTTCAGTTTGTGTCAGACGTGTAGCACCTGGATGTCAGAAGTGAAGGCAGTTTTTAAAGGGCTCTAGGCCCTGTACAGTTGAGTAGTTGGTACTGGGACATTGAGTCTCACATGGGGTATTCCAGACCACACTTGCTTCTGCCAGCTGCTGTGCAGCCCTAATGGCTGCTCAAGTTGCTTTGTCACAAGGCCTGTTTAGTTTCAAGATTGTTACAGCCTATTAAAAGGACATATTTCCTACACCACTGTCTTTTAAATGCCCTCTGCTAATATATTGGAAGTGATGTGGCAGATATCTGACTTTGAGCATATTTTTCTAGAGCCAGGAAATACATAAATATGGACATAGCTAATATGGTGAGACTCGCAGCTGTGGTTTTCTTGGACATGACCTAGAAGTGAAGGTGTATATGTTACAGTAAGTGCTTGTCTGAAATTAATCAGATTAGTCTGTCTGTTACCCCTGAAAACCCCAGTAGCTTCTCAGTTGATCACTGAGCTTTTTATTGGTGTTGTGATTCCAGATGATAGTTTATGTCAAATATATATTTAAATATATATTTATATAGCCATATATATCATTTATTTCTATTTTATGTGAATCGGTGTTCTGCCTGCTTGTATGTCCATGTGAGTGTGTCAGATCCTTTGGAACTGGAATTACAAGACAGTTGTGACAGTTGTGAGCTGCCTTGTGGGTGCAGGGAATTGAACTCAGTTCTTTGGAAGAATAGCCAGCATTCTTACCTACTGAGCCATCTCTCCAGGTCCCCAGATGATAGGTTTAAAACATTACTTTGGTTTTGTTGGGGTTGGAGCTCAGGGAATCCCACATGTTAAGCATGTTAAGCACAGACTCTACCACTAAGTGATAATTCTGCCCCCTAAAAATTTTGAAATATTTATTTTACAGAAAGTTGGTAAGAATAATGGGTTTAATTTAAATGTAAAAATTTTCTATTTTAGTATATGTATATATTTACATGATACATATATTTACATGTTTCTGTGTATTTATATGTATACATTTAATGTGTGTATATTACAGATATATCCATATATAGGTGCATATATGACTTTTCTACAAATATATCCATACATAGGCTCATGCATGACATATCTACACATGTACTCATACATAGGCACTTGTATGACTTCTCTCTGATCTTTGCAGAGTAGATCTCAGCCCTGCACTTCTTTCCCTCCACATGGATAATCTCAGAATTCCTCTTCTTATGACCTTGGCATAGTGAGTCTGCAGTGTACAGACTGCTCGAAAGCAGCTGTTCCCAGTGATTTCCTCACAGCATAGTTTCCCTCTAGGGTTTAATTTTATTTTTTGTATATGTAAAACATTAACATAGTTCTTAAATTCGGAACCATTCAGTTTGTACTCAAACCCCCCAAACCTTTCTGCCCACCTACTGCCATTCACCAGCTCCATTATAATTTGCCTTTTCTATATTATTTTTGCCAAAATAATTAGAATTATTTTATCATTTGCCCTTTTGTACACAAAAGATTTTTGCTATAACTGAGCCTATTTTGTCTGAGTATTATGCCCTGGAAATTGCTTCATATTTTATACAATCTCCCTCACTTTTGTAGCTTTGAATATACATTTTAATTTAAACACCAGTGGTTTATTTTATTATCCTGGGTTTGTGCCTTTTGATAGTTCTGATTCTCAGAATTACAAATGTTAGTGTTGTGTTTGTGTGTTCACGGTTTTGGAGTTACTTCTTTAGAGAAAGTTTTTAGGAGTACAAGTCCTTATTAGACGAGTAGATGCAGATGGTGTGCTGCTCAGCGTTGCCATGGTGCCGTTGCAGAAGCTGCAGGTCAGTACGAGGCGGTGTGCCCCTCGCCTGCCACGCCTTGCTGCTGCTCGTGGTTCTGAGCCAGCACTGTTAGCTCCTCAGAGCAGCCATGTCTGCGTTTCTCACGAGTAGGCATGCTAAATGTGTCGGGGACCATTTCTACTTCTGTGGAGGATCGCTCAGTCACATATTTTGTCCATTGGGGAGGGAAATCTTAGTTACAAAGATGTAATTTTTATATAAAAATGTGCTGATATTGTTAATCTTATGATTTTCCTTTTTTTTTTTTTTTTTTTTTTTGAAATGGCAGTGGTCCAAGTCCTTTTGATGATGTTTTTTGAATTTTCCCGCACCAGAGTTTACCAATTAGAGGGTAGATCTTTTAATTACCTTTGTTGATCCTTGATGTAAGACCATGACCTCAGGGGACTCCAGAGGAGTGATGATGTCATTTCTGTCTTTGTGCAGTGCTGGCCCTGGGCAGTGTGTGAGGCAGCTGCTCTATCTCCAGCTCCAAGCTGTACTCACTTTTATAATGTATTGGGGTTCTGCTGCTGTTTTGTTTGTTTTAGATTACAGGGTACGGACTTCATCAGGCATCTCATGCAGGAAGCTGCATCCTGTTCTCGTGGGTTGGTCCTGCCCACTGCCTCCCAGCACATTTCCCCAGTGGTCCACTCCTTCCCTAGTTAGCACCGGAAAGGCTTCGTAACAGGCTTGCATTTCATAGCCCTATTTCTCTCTTCCCTGAAGTGCTCTTTCTCCCTCCTCTGGAATTCTTTCCAGTTTCATCATCTGCACACATGTACGCATGTATGTACACATACACATGCACACACACCTTTAAATATAGCTTCCAAATAAAAGAGAAAATGGACCTGTCTTTCTAGCCTTACTTCACTTAACAGTGATTTCCAGTTACACCAATTTTTCTATAAATGTCATAATCTCACTTTTCTTTACAGCTGAATAAAATTCCATTATGTATATGAGTACTTTTTGTTATCCATTAATCTGCTGATGGCCATCTAGGCTAATTTCGTTTTCTGGCTACTCTGACTAATGGATCGAAGGGCATGGATGTTCAGGACTCTGCAGAAGTTCTGCTTTCGTTGTGAGAAGCCTGCACTGATTTCTACAGCGCCGCACCAGTTCATAGTCCCTGTAGCAGAGTGAGGGCTCTTGCTTTCCCACATACCCATCAACACATGTTAGCATTTGCTTTCTTGGTGTTAGCCACTCTGACCTTGTGAGATGGAGTCAGAGCAGTTTTAGTGTGTGTTTCCCTGACGGCTAAGGGCGCCAAACACTTTAAAGTTACTTATTGAGCATTTCCCTTTCCTTTAGTTGAGAACTGACTATCGATTCATTAACCCAATTACTGACTGTATGGTTTGGGATTTTGGGGATGTTTAACTTTCACACTGTAGGGATCAATCCCCTGTCCAGTGTATTTGGCAAGATTTTGTTCTCCCATCCGTCAGCTGCCTCTCTATCCTGGTGATTGTTTTCTTTGATGTGCAGCTTTTCCATTTTCATGTTCTTGGGAATGTTTTTGATGCTACTAGAGTCCTTTCAGAAAGTCCTTGCCTATGCCTGTATGCACAAAGGTCAAAGGACAACATTCATTGGTTCTCTCCTGCTATTAGATTAGAGTCCTAGACATTGAACACACACAGGTTGTAGGGCTTGTTTTCTGGAGACCCATCCAGCAGACATTAATGATTTGTCTTCAGTGCTGTCAGAGTCATCTTTTGTTCCTGCATCTTTACAACATAATTCCATATTTGGATTTTTTCAGTTTATTAACGATTAGCGTTCTTACATCCTGTTGAAGGAGCCCTGCCATAGGTCATGATTCTTTTATATGCCTCCGGCAGTCTATCTAAAATTTGCCTTTTACTCTTTATTGTTTAACTGGGAGTTGATTTTTATATGTGGTGTGAGGTAGGGATCAAGTTTTATTTGTTCTAGTCTACATGGAGATGACTAGCCCGTCTACTGAGATGGCCTGTCTGTGCTGGGTAGTGCTAGAGTTCCTACATACACACCAATAATGTTTTAAAACTCTATTCCTTCCCCCAGGCCTATTTGAAATTAATTACTGTAGTTTTATAATAAGTGTTTAACTGAGGGACTGCTCTTGGCTTCTTTCGTTTTTATTCTTAAAGGCTGCCTTGGGGCTTCTTGGCTCTTTAGATTTTCAAATACATTTAATAATTACATGTACTACTGTGACCTAATGCAAGGTTTTAACAAAAACCTTACATGTTTCAGTTTTATTAAGGTTTATAGCTATTGCTAATTGGAGCTGGTTTAATTTAAACCTTGGTCTTGTTCCCAGGGTTTACCAGACACTTCCTTTGACAGAGAAGAAAATTGTGTTCCCCAGGGCCAAAGCTTGTAGTGAGGGCGTAGCAGCATTCTGTCCTGACTGGACTCTTCCCACTTCCCCTAAAGTGCTGCCAGACCACTTGACAGGCTAATGTTCGTTTGCCCATTTGCAACACAGCCCAGTTGAGAGAACTATGTAGTTTCTCACGACCACCCCTCATCTGCCTTCCCTCCCCCAGCTATGTGAAGCGGCATCCTCCCTCCCCACACCTGTGTGAAGCATTGCATCCTTCATCTCCCCAGCTGTGTGAAGCTTTGTGTCCCTCCCTCCCTCCCTCTCTCCTTCCCTCCCTCCTGGACCCTGGAATAGGCACAAACCACACCCCAAAACCCAT